CAACATAATGGTTGGAATGGAGCCTGGTCTAAGGGATAAAAAGATTTTTCGGGAACCAAGACTGAAATCGCCTTCTCTCAGTTTCTCTAATTCAGTTCCTAGTCACAAATCATTAAAAGAGACATTTAAAGGTTCACCACGAGAAATCCCCGTAACTAACAACAAGAAGAGTGGGATAAGCTCCAAAAGTCGGGCTGAAGGTTCAAGGAACAATCTTGCCAACTTCCATAATCATTCTGGAAGCAATATCGAAATCAGCCAAACTCATGGTTATGATAAAAATGTATTCAATGGTGGACGCAAGACCGGATATCTCACCAAATCTTCAAAGCTGTTGCCTCTGAGTAGCAGCCGTTCCCCTGACTCAATGGAAAGAGGTCCATCTTCTGTGATGGTAATGATTTGTCTAAAGCTTCTTTGCCTACAAGTTGCTTTCATGCTCTTTCATGGAAATATAAGTTGTGTTGTTTGTGATATCTTCTTTTGAAGGTGGGAAAGTATCACGTTGAGAGGAATCAAATGAAAATGCATAGAGAGAAATTGCATTCGACTGATGAACCACCGGTGAGTTTGATGGTTAATTATACTGAAGATTTAAGTTCTTGTTCCGACCCTTATTTTTCTATCTCACTTTAAAAGGTTACCAAGCGAGTAAAACACGGCTATCTTCAGCAAGTTTATGCGCCAAAATCATCAAACAAGGAGATTTTTGGACGAAAAAGCCAGATAAATCGGTTAGTAACCATTATATAACGCATTTGTTGTTCCAAAGAGATATCAAAATTGCTCATTGCATCACATAATATGTTTTTGTAGGTCTGGTGTGGAATTGCACTCTAGCCTCAGTGGGGACGAGACAGCAGAAACTAGCTTTTCAATGGATTAAGTCAAGGTACAAAGGGAAGAAAGATTAGGAAATTCCGGTTTGTAGATATGATGAAACCGGTTTAGGATGTGAATAAAAGGTGCATCGTGTAATTGGTAAATGGTAGAGATTTCTACATTTTGGTATATGCTATATAATATAATATGGTAAGAAAAAGATATATAGTATGACACCAAATGTGCAATGGCCTGTTTGTTTTGATTTGCTCCTAAACCGTTACCGGTTCTTGTATCTGGTTCAGAGAGAAACAATTGACCTAGTAAGGCCCATTAATCAAAGGTCAAATTAGGCCCAAACTAATTTGATTAGCCCGGTTTAATTCGAAAAAGTCGGTCCGGTTTAAAAGGCAAATAAATAATATTGTGTGACTAGAAGTTTTCGTCACATGAGAAAAAATCAGAGCCGTTGACTCGTTTTCGTAAAAGTTTGTGGTATAATTTTGATTCGGCCAAAAAGGTTTCTTTTAGGGTTTGCGTGGCTTTGCCTCAAAGTTTGAAGATAAAAAATTTGTGTTTTTTTCCTTTCATCAAAACTCTGATTTCGAAATCTTTTTTTCTGCTTAATCCTCTCGATTTTGCAAATCTGCCTCTGCTCTCTGGTAAGAATCCTTTTCTCCGATTCTGTGTTTCGGATTTGTTCTTGCGAGCTGTGACGACGATTTCTTCTTCAATGGTGTTTTTTAATTCGTCGTTTGTGTTTTGTTATTGTAGGTTTTTGGTTCCTTGATATTTGTTGACCTTTATTTCATGTAATAATTTCGTTAAACTCTTTTGATACCTTCTTTGTTTGATTCGATTTTGTCGGTAGCTCTTAAAAAAAGTTGATCTTGGTGGATTTTTGCTCTATGAACTTTTGTTTTTTCCTTTTGGTATCAATCTAAATTTGCAACCTTTTTACTTTTTTTGTCTTGTCTCAGTGTTAAAATAGCTCTCTCATTCTCTTGTTCAATTTGTTTCCTTTAAGCGAGACACTTATTGGGAATTTAGGAAGTAGGCTTTCTTAAGCTCGAGAGAATTGTTCTTCGCTCTTTGCTCTATAACCCTTTGTTTGATCAAGTTTTGTGGTCTGAATTTGCAAGTTTTTTGCTTTTTTTTTTGGTCTTGTTTCAGTGTTATAATACGTCTATGTCTCTCATTCTCTTGTTTTTCATTAGGTGAGACTCTTATTGGGAATTTAGGAAGTAGGCTTTGTTAAACTCGAGAGAATTGTTCTTCACTCTGGCCGCTACTGCAAAGACGTGTGCTTCTCGCACCTCTGAGCAGGTGTGGGGTGGCCTTGAAGTGGTGACTTCACTTTATCTTCCAAGGATTTCTCTAGCATCAATCATTTGGAGGCTCCGTCGTGTTTCCGAGGGTCTAACCCTTGATTACGGCTAACATTGTTAAAGCACTTGAACCTCCAAAACTTATTAACAACTTTCTAAGATTCTTGCAAGAAAACGTAAACTTTTATCTTATAGTTTCTAGCTGTGGTTGTAATTAGAAGAACAGCTTTCGTGGTTTAGATTTCAGGTTGTTTTTTAGTTTCCTATGTCGTTCTAGTGGGTGTTGTAGTCAATGTTATTAAGTTTGACACAATGGTCAGATTTTCATGCTTCAATGCTCACATCCACCGCCAAAAACCTAAGGTAAGTTTGAAACATTATGGACTCTTGTTCTGTAGAACCGTTGTGTTAAATTCTCTGTGATAGATTCATTTGTCCCATAAGAGGACTCTAATCGGTTACTATGTTCCGGTGATGTAGAAATCCGTGGAAGGATTTTCACAACGAGTGATCAGAGAAGATGGGTCTAAATCGAAAAGGTTGAGCTCAATCATATTTGGGAGAAATATTACTTCTGTTGGTGAAAACAGCAAGCCAGCTGCCTCGACCGCTATTGAGCGTGTCTGGAAATCTGAGGAAATCAAACCCAGTGGCATTCTTGAGCATGATATTGGGACACATGAGGTACGGCAACTCAAGAAAAGTCAGTCTCATGGAGATGAACTATACTTGGATGGGAGGGATGCCACAGAGAATGGAACAGACGATGGAACAGATCGGATTACTTCTCGAAATTCTCTTGAACAGAGAGATACTCTTCCGGCAGGAAGCAGCAAGCGTGTAGAAGGAAGTCCTAATCTGTATCAGCAAGCTCCTCGAGCTTCAGTTTCTGCTTACCAGGGTTCAGATCAAGCACACAATGGGTCTATTTTCTCGGTTGGAGATCTTCACCATGCTGATAAAGACAGCCGTCAGTTCGACGATACCTCGCTATCCGGTGAACAGATGGACAACTCAAACAGCCAAACGCCTTATGATTCACCCTTGATTGTAAGGTCGAACTCAATGCCTAATATTGCTGACTCTGCATCAGGGAAATCTTCACCTTTCAAGTATTCGTCTCACCACTCTAGATCCTCTGATGACCTTCGTGTTCCAGACATGCGCCAAACAGATAAATCTGTCCACGAGAATGATGCAGAGGTGAAGCTAGAG